TAAATAATATGTGTATATATATATATATATATATATATATATATAGTTTTAACTCAAATTTTTGTTAAAATTCAGGTATTTGAGTGTCAAGACGTTGCTTATACTTCATCAAACGACTATGTGTATTTAAAAGTATTATTCAGAAGAACGCACCAAAAGCCATGCATCATGGTTCAACATGAACAGATCTGATAGAGCAGGTAATGTACATGTGCCTATTTCTCCATCTGTACTTGCCACTAATGGTTTAATACTGCCTGTGCAAGACCATAAACATCTTCCTGTATATTGTGCATATCAGTGGTCCAAAGCCAACCACTTTAATAGATATCCGAGACCATTGCTTTGTGACCGATTGCAGAGACTGCCTCCACCACGTTCTTTCATTGCCTCAGCTGGATTAACAGATGAGTTGAATTCTGCTTTGTCATATACACACATTATCGGTGATAGAAAGGAAATGGATCTGAAGCAAAAAATTCATCAGTTAGAGAAGAATCTGGCCTTTGTTAAAGAACAACATGCCTTGGTACTGCATAGTTTACTTCAGGAAGTAGAGGAACTTAAGGAAAAAAATAGAGGTAATAAATTTATTTGGTAAGACATTTTTAGAAACATTTATTTGTGAAGTGAACTATATATAGGTAACTATTATAAAATTAATAGTTAGGATTTTGCAACCTTTCTTTGAATTTCAGTATGAAAAATATAATAAAACTGGAGATATTCCAATTATGCTTTTAAAATATTTAGAAAACATTAAATGTTGATTGTGTTTAGTAATAAACATGTGGAATATGGCATCAGAAGGAACTTTTTTAATCATTTCATTTGATTTGATTCAATATTTGTTAATTTGTAATGTATATGAGGTAAATCATGATTAAGATTTCAAGTTCTCTCATCAAGCTTTGGCTCTTTATGGCTTTTTTTTTTGTAAACTTAGTTTCTTCTAGTAGCTGTTGTTTTTATACAAAGAATTATTGTACTTGAATGATTTGTATATGCTTATAGAGTGGTATGTTGCCACAGATGTGAATTGTGGTATCATGGGCATCAAGTTTATCACTTTATAATTGTTTAATGGCAAGTTCTTAACTTTTTGAGTGTGCAATGTTGCCATGGTTAGGCCTTTCATTCAAAAAATATCAAAAGCCTTTTCAAAGATAAGTGTTTGTATAACTAGATTGTTAAATGAGGCACAGTTAAAGGACACAAAACTCAGAAGAATACAAGATTCAGTATATTTCTTCAGATTATATCTAAATGTTTTCAATTCCCAAATGCCAAGTCACTTTTTCTTATTAGCAACCTGGTGTCCAATATTCAGTGACTATACACTTTTCAGTTTTGATCTGTTTTGCATTATCTGTTTTGTGTGTTTCTAAGTAGATCATTGGATAGCATTCCTATTCATACTGTGATATCCCATCAATAAATTCCAATTTGCAAAAAATACATTGTATAACAACAGCATCTGGTGATAGCAATTAAATACACAATACCATGTAGAGTAACATAAAATAAAGTTTACATTCACTATTGTCAGAAAAAGAAGTTTATATGGAAACAAGTTTTGTCACTTTCACATGTTCTCTTCAGTCCAAGAGTACAAATCTGATCATACTTTCCACTTATTAACTCAAAATGGTGAAAATGTCCTGTCTCTCCATTATATGTAAATAAAAAAAAAAAAAAAAAAAGAAACTTCAAAGTGATCCATAATCCTCATTTGGATCCAGGCCAGATTTGGGGAGGACTGTCCCATACTGGCTTTCCATATTGTGTAAAATTTTCATGTACATCAATCTATTAGTTTTCAAGATATGCATGCAGAAACACAGACAGACAGACATACAAACACATGGACTCAATTGCAATACTCTCACCACTCTTATGGGGGTGAGGGTAAAAATTGGTTCCCATTCTAACTGTTGGGGATTTCTTGGATTTTTGTGATCTTGACCCTCCAAAAACTAATCAGTTCTAAGTTGGGTCATAGTCCAAATGTATACAAACTTGCATCCAAATCCATTCAGCTGTTTTTGAGACTACATACATACATACATGCGCACGCACACACACAGGGGTAAAAACATAACCTTTGTGGTAAAATAATAAACATGTATCACACAATGCTAGTTTCTATTAATCAACAGCAAATAGAAAAAAATTCTTACAATTTTATTGGATTGTTTAACATTAGCATACAGATGTGTAAAAATTTTGAATCATGTTTTAAGGTGAAGCATGACTTGGTATATTGTGTAATAGGTTTACAGTTTGAAGTACACTTAAAATAACTTAATTAAGGCAAGTTATGCTGTAATTTTAATGTGTTTACAGTTTATTTCTTCTATTATATTTTAGAGCTACAGTTTCAGCTTACAATGGGAACAGATAAAGAGTCAAAAAGCACACAAAAATCATGTTGCAATGGTAAGCATAATTCATTAATTTCTTTATTCCATTTTGTTGTTTTTACTTGCTTCACTTAAATTGTATTTTATTCGTTCATTTGTGCCATTTAGTTCAAATGTGTGTTGAAAAGTTTCCTGATTTCACTGATTCTAACAACTAACAGAATTTTTTACTTTAACAGGTATTACATAACATTATATTATTAGGTGGATAAATTATTAGAGAGTGAAGTATGGCTGCTACAAATCAAAGTTTAATTTCTTATAAAATGTTATTTTTTGAACCAAATTTTCAGTCCATAATTTAAGAGAAGGAAATGATAAAATAAATCTAAAAAGTAACAAAATTGGTTTGTACAAACCAAACTGTTTGTTTATAAAAAAAAAATCAAAAAGTCATGCACATATTATTCAGAACTCCATATACCAGTTTGGAATATGACAAATATTGTAAAAATATTTTGCGGAATAGCAAAAAAGAGACTGGAAGTTAAGAATTTAAATGGAATAGCATGAATATTTTACTACAGTTGTAAATTCACAGTTTTAAAAAGAACTGGGAATAACTTTTCAGTGATGAAGCCCAGACCAAGAACCATTTGTATCAGTTTGTTTATAAATTTTCACCAGTAAGTGGAATTTAATTGTGTGAAACTAAATGTTTTATGAGTAAACACAGTACAATATATGAAATTTAGTGTGACATTCATATAGGCCTTCATTATACAACATTTTACCTGTATAGAGGAGAGACAGCTTTTTTTTTATGAATAACAGACTAATTATTTTTTTTCTTTATTTTACTACGGGGAAAAAACTATCTGAGCGTATGTGCATAGCAAGTGGTATTTCAAAAACAGTGAAAAAAATGTCAGTATTTAGTTACAATACACAACACTAATTATATATTTAGGACCTATATTGTAAAGATTTATCTAAAAGCTTTTCAGTACTGTATAGAAATTTGTTACTTTTTTTTTTCTTTTTACTACTTGAGGCTCCAATAAAAGTTTTAATGTTTTTATGAGATTTTTAACTCCTTTTTCTTACGCTCACCAGGATAAATAAAAGCTAAGCTAAACTAATATAAGAAAATTGAGACTGTTAGTACCCTTACATGAGATTTAAATATATTAATTTTATCATGCCCAGATTGGTGCATCAGCCCTTGGAAACAAAATTGAACCACTGAATTAAAGTTATCTATATACATATAATAGTACTGTCTGTTGTATGTCCAGGTAACTATTTTGCATAGTGTGGAAGGATCTTCACCAAAATTGGTATGGAGGTTCATTAGGTCCATACGAGGATACATACAAATTTTCAGTTTTTTTAGTTTTTATGGATGTTTTTTGCATTTTTGACCACTTCTTTGCTCCCTGTGGATGGATCTTCCCCAAATTTGGTATGGAGTTCATTGGGTCCATGGGGAGATACATACCAATTTTCAGTTTAGCATTTTACATTTTGTGGTTCTTATGGACATTTTTGAATTTTTTTACCACTACTTTTTTGTGTTTTGCAGTTTTTATGGCTGTTTTTGTGTTTTTTACAATTACATATAAGGGAAGCAACTCTTCATGTCCTCAGGTAATCTTTCATTAGTCATAAATGTTCACAACTTCCAGCCAGGGGATGGGTACTCCAGTTAGTAGAAAATAAATTTGTAGTCATTCCTCTACACATTAAAAAAAATTAATTCAAATTTATTTAATACAAAAAGTTTTCTTTAATTTTATACATAAAATTAAAAATATATTGCAAAATTAGCAACAGATTCGTTTGATGGGAATCAAAGTTTATTGATGAACTATAGGACAACAACAACAAACATTTAATTCTTGAATGTCTGGGAATGTACATATTCCATCTTCAGCAATTTATACTGAACAGTATAAAATATTAGGTACAAAAGTTTCAACAATTTGTAAAGAGTAATGAAAATACAATGTAAAAAGACAAAGTGAATATAAAAATAAAGAATAGGATAGTGAAACTATTGTGACAATATTTTACAAGTTATTCAAAATAGACTGAATTGTAGCAAAGTTGTAATCATTTCAAGTTGGGAGTTCATTTATAGTAAATAAACTTTCTTTAATTAAAATATCAATATTGCAAAATGTTTTGGATGGATTTCAGCACACTCTTAACCAAAATATTAATGTATGTGAATTTTTTGAATTTCTTTTAAGGATAATTTGGTAATGTAACTCTGGAAGGAAAGTAATAAGAGTTTTGAATAAAGTGGGAGGAATTGACTGTGAAGTTTGAACACAAGTATGATTCCATCAATTTGTAGCTAATTTCTCTCTTTCTCTTAGCTTCATTTGTCATGATGTGATATAATTGCTTATATCTTGGCTTTGAGAAGTCATACGTTAGTGGCTGGAACATAGAAGTACAGTCAGTGGGGGGTGCAACTGGTTTGATTTGGCACCCCTTTTCCTTATTTTTTTTATCCAAAGTGTGTAATTTTCAGATAATATAGATTATTCTTAAAGTAAACTAATATAGCCTGACTAAGCTATATTTCTTTGACACATTCAATTAACAGTAAACACCTAAACAATTTCATGCATATGTCTTAAAATGTGTTAGATAAGTTCCAAACATATGCAAATTCATATCTATCAGCATAACCTGATGCTGTTGTAAAAGTGTCAGATTTTTAAATGAATTCAACCACTGCCATTTTCACTTGTTAAGTTCCAAATGGAGCATTGGTGGAGAAGAGAGATTGTCTGCCCATAAAATAACACTCATTCAGATGGCTTCATTGTCCAGTTTTTGACAACATTAATTGGACAAATGCTGAATAATTTTAACCCTTTTGGAATGTGCCACAGGTGAAAGGCCATATCATCTCGTTTGTTGACTCGCATTCAAAATTTTATTGAACTACTATTTCATGAATTTATGTCAATAACTTTAGTATCAAACTGTAGATTATAATTAAAATTCTAAAACTATATATTACTCAATTTGTTAATTTAAAAGTAAATATTAAAAAAACGCAGATAAACATAGATTTCTTTTGTGTGTCACGTGGTATGTTGAATGCAGCATTGGTTCAAATTAGATGTTTGTGAAGTCAAAAATACTAAGTCTATAGTTT